CATCAAGGTTTGTAATCCACATTGATTGTCCCAGCACCAGAGAAGGCAGTCACAAAGTGCTCAAAGCAAACCACTTCTGTAAGCATACTAGGCAGGAATATAGGAAATTAGAGTGTACAATTTTGCAAAAGCTCCTAGCAGAGAAATTTAGCAATAGTATAACATTCCTTTATGGCTACAGTATAAAATCAAGGAAGAGTACTAAAAAAGTATTTATATTCAAATATGACACAAGAGAAAAAAACTATCTAGAAAAAGTGTTTTTTTGCCATGATAATGTTGAAATCTTTTCCATCATTAGAACTATAGGAAGTGTGTATTTGCAAGTACATAATAGAAAATGACAAAATCTAGTTTTTTAACAAATACTTGTACAAAGCAACAAGTTTTAAAATCATTTAACATCATCAATCAAAACCTTGTTCAAAACAAGATTAGAAAAGACCCTTTTGATATGACAAAATGCTTCAGAGCAGAGAATACAAAGTTCATCAAGATGCTTCCAGGCACATCATATGACCAAGGCACATGTGTGTGCAGCTCCAGGACTATTTGCACTGCTACAACTGCCATTAGCAAAATATCTAGGGGGAAAAAAACCCCCTTCAGATGATGGCATACTTGAATATAATGACAAAGGTGGTGAGCTCACCGCTCAATGTATGACTCAATTACTGCACTAGAAATTGTAGAGACTGCTCTGATACAGTGTGTTAGCCTTTAAGACCTAGAAAGAAAGTGACCTGCTCCAGACAATATAATCGTTTTGCTATACAGGTCTCATACATTCTGTGTACTGTGTTCTACATTAACTTGGCTGATTACCTTGATTAGGTCCAAAAAAAGCCTAAGCTTTGAGTTCAAAGGCAAAATGAGTTCATGAGGCAAAATTTGTAAAATGTATAAAAGAGAAAGATGTGAATTTTTAGAGAAAACTCTTGAAAACAATTTGTAATGGATGTTTTGATATGACTACACTCTTATTTGGTTTTTTTATATTTTAAAACACATGCAAGCTTAAACTTTTTTTTTTTTAAATTAAATTAAAAAAAAAAGAAAAAAGACACAGGGATATTGGAGAAAGGAGTGCAGTGGTACTTTCGTCACGCCTAATAGAAATTGGCAAGTTACACACCGTAATATTAAGGAAGCCAGAACCCTCTTAGCAACATGCTAGTCAGGACTGTGGTGAGTCACATCAATCACTAAATGTGGTATTTGTGACACACTATTTCCCCAAACAGACCATGCTTCTATAGGTCTTCAGCTGTGTGCATTTTAGTGAGTTGAAGTCTCAAATAAATAATGATTCTGTAACAGTCTGCTGTGGTCTAAGATTTAAATCAGGAATCCAGGAATTAATCAGAGGCAAGAACCACATCAGAGGTATGTAAAATCTATCACAGAATTGGAAATGACCCCAGCAGGGTGACAGCCCATGAGTGCAGTGCCTTCTGTATCTGGAGTGAGTGTGCCTTGTAGTAGATCCCACCCACATCCCAACCACAAGGTTGGTCTTCCCTAAATTACTGTCTCCTCTGTTTGGTTTTTCTCCTGTGACAAGTGTTCCATCTATTCAGTGATCACACCAAGCTGTAACTGACTGTGGTGTGCTTGTATCCCACAGAGCCAACCCTGTCCTGGGCTGCATCCAAAGCCCCGTGGGCAGCAGAGAGGTGATTCCAATCCTCTGCCTGGCTCTCATGAGACCCCACCTGCAGTGCTGCATCCAGCTCTCGGGTCCTCAGGACAGGAAAGAAATGGATCTATTGGAGCAGGTCCAGAGTAGCCCAGAAAGATGGTCAGAGGTCTGGAACACCTTCCCTGTGAAGACAGGCTGAGTGGGTTGGTACAGTCCAGCCTGCAGATGAGATGGCTCTGGGGAGACCTTATAGCAGCATTTTGGTACTTAAAGGGGGGTTATAAGAAAGATCAGAATAAACATTTTGGCAGGAGCTGTTGAGACAAGGGGTAATGGTTTTTCGGTAAAAGACAGTAGACTCAGACTAAAGAAATTCTTTACAAAGAGCGTGGTGAAACACTAGACCAGGCTGCCCAGAGAGGTGATAGATGCCCCATCCCTGAAAACATTCAAGGCCAGTTTTGATGGGGCTCCCAGCAACCTGATCTAGTTGAAGATGTCCCTTGCTCATTGCAGGAGCAGAGTTGGACTAGATAACCCCTCCAACCCAAAGCATTCAATGATACCATGGAAATGACAAATTTTTAGCTGTACTTGCAATATTTGGAACAAAGACTTAATGGTGAAATTACTGCTTGTAATCACTGCTTGTTATATTGATCCAACAAATAAAGAAAATTTAAGTTGATTAATTTGTACAGAATCCATATTCCAGAGAGAGGACACAGTTCAGTTTCTGCCTCTTTACACATGATCCCCTCACATCCTGTTGGTATAAGAAAGTGCATCTCACTCCTGAGAGTGATGATACCAACACATACTGATGTTTCTAGCACATATGAGTATTAATTTTGGCACCTACAATTTTAGCTTATAGATAGGCAGGCACACTGTCAGGTCAGATAACTGGTGCTTAAAAAGGAGCAATAGATATTAGTCTGACATGGTTCCTGACTGATGTCTCCTACCAAACTAACTCCCTGAGACTACCACATGCATTAAACAGCAAAGCAGATGTTTGTACAGTTTGAGAGAAAACACATTTAAGTCATGAGTTATAAAAGTTTGGACTCGTGGCTTTTCAATATTCATGAATCCTAAAGCTAATACTTACCAGGCAGGTCCTTGAGAAAGCTGCTTTTCAAGCTTTGCATACATTTCAGCAGGAAGAAAGCAATCAATCCGTAAAATGGTGTTTCCTGCCTTTCCTGGACAGTAAAAGTGATTCTCAGCAGGCTTTTCCCAGCTAACCGCATCCTGGGCTGCTTTCTAGGGCCCAAGGCTCTTAATTTCCCATCCTTTCTGCCCTCGTTGTATTTTATTGCATCCTAGTGAATTTCACTGAAGAAAACAATATCCTGCACTTGTTGTGTGCAGGTTTGAGTTTGAACGATAGGGTACAATGTGGATCATTTTATAATTCCTATATTATTATAGACCTAGAGAGAACCAAGTCTCTAAGTCTTTCTCTGTTGAAAGACAGAGGGAATTGGTATAATTTGGGAAGAAATACTGTGGTTTCTTGAAACAACAAATGTTTATTTAATCAGTTACCAGGGAGAACATGACTCTTTCCAAGAAAGGTGCATTGTGTTTTACACAATTTGTAATAACATAGCTACCCTTCTATCTGAGGTCCTGCACACTTTAGTATGACTTTAAGTACATTTAGGCTTAACTGGCAAAATACAGATTTTTTTGATCCAGGTCACTCAATAAAGATTAGACTCCTACATATTGTTCTGTGTCAGAGTTGTATGTGCCTGCCTGTTTCACAACAGATGGCTGCATTTCAGTGCTTTTATATAGAAGACGTATATGGAAGGTTGAAAAAAACATTCATTTTAATTCAACTTCTTCCAGCTGCTTGTATGCTTTAGTTGTATCCATCGAGCTTGATGTCATGCAAGTGAATTTTTTTAATAGAATTTTGCATTTTTTTTTCTGTTCATTCTGGATTAAGATTTATTTGGAATGGTTGTACAGAAAGTGTAAATCGAGCATGTTTCATGTTGGAATGTACCAGACACTGTTTCATGGGGTATTGCAATCTGTGAAATACAACAAAGAATAAAATACCTTAAAATATAGTCCTTTGGTTTTCGGGGTGAAAGAGCACTTGCAGTTCTGAGAAGGGAACCTTAACCTCTGCTTCCAAGCACTCACTTTGAGTGACCATTTCTCATGCTGGTTTACCTTTTCAGAGCATTTTTCCTCCCTGTATTGCAAGGATATGAGTAAGATGCATTGCAGATTTTTTTTTTTTCATGAAATACAGAAGTAAACATATGATTATTCAATTCACAGATATAAGAATATTTTCAGTGGTCTTTTAAGTCTAGATCATCCAAGTTCCTTATCAGCTTTTCCAGTAAGCATAGATTTAAAATGCTACTTTATGGGTTTGGCTTCAGTGATTTAGTAATTTTCCTCTGCTTTGCCCTTGTGCTCTGTGACAGAGAAGAGCTGGGCTGGCTTCCTCCGGGCTTTTGTCACCCAAGATTCATTGATGAGACACCTAAGGACTAATAAGGAAGCGATGTAAAGCCTCAAAGCTAAAGAACAGAGTGAATCATGACCTTGTATAACAAATGCGTTCTCTGAAAAAATAGAAAAAATAGGCTTGAGCAAGGTCTTTTCAACTTTGCTTCTCTTCACTCTTTTAGAACAGGGTGAGTCCCAAACCCACTTAACAGCCGCACATCTGGACATCTCATCCGAAATACGGTTTTCTGGCTGGTATTTATAAAGTGGTTTGTATTACTAGAGGCACAAGCACAGAACTCTGGATAGAGGATACCGCTGTTTGGGTGAGGGAAAAAGAAAATAAAATCGCCTTTGCACTCCTCTCAACGTAAGATCTGCCTTTCTCCGTAAGATCTGACAGGGACGGAAAGGACGCCGTCCTGGATCCGCGACCCCTCTCACAGATCCTACGACCCCAGGAAGGGTTCCAAAGGGGACTTGTGTGTCGGAGGGGTCACTGTGGGGTCTGAGGGGCTCTACAATTCTCGCTGGTCCAGACACAGCCCCGAACCCGCCCGGCTCCCGGAGCGGAGCCGCTCTGGGAGTGCTCCCTAAGCACCGGCCCCTCACCGACAGCGGGGAGGCGGGGCCAGCAGCAGCGACCAATGAGAAGCTTTGGCTGGTCTCTGATTGACAGGCCACGTCTTCCAATGGGAGCCTTCACTTGAGCAAGGGGGCGACACTAGGGGGGCGCTGCTATCCCCGCCCATTGGAAGTAGCAGGGGCGGGGCACGGCTCCTGGGCGGGGCTAAGGGCCGCTGAGGGGCGTGGTCTGGGCGGTTTATAAATGTGGTGCGGAGCGTTTCTCCCGCTCAGTCCGCGCAGCGTCGCTGGGCGCGCTGTGTTTGCTGCGGGTCTGTGCGCAGCGCCTGCCGTCGCCTAACACTCCTTTTATTGTGTGCGCGGCCCCCGTCTTGCCTCGGTCAGCGGATCCCGGGGCACGTCTCTTCCCTATCTTACCTCCTTGTGCGCTTCCGCAGAGTGATTTGTCCGCGGCCCTTGCCCGCTGAGGGGGGGCGTCCCCCCAGCCCTCTCCCCTTTTCTTCCCCCCTCCTGGCCGGGGGCTTGCGGCGCTTCCTCCTGGATGCGTCCCCGCAGCCCCGGGCGGGAGGCGGCCAGGGGGAAGCGCTGCCTCCGAGGATTTACCGCTGCCTGGGACTCGGACCCTCTCCTTTCCCGCCGGCGCACCCGGCGCCCCGGCTCCGCTGCCGCTCCGGGCCGCTGCCATGGACGAGAAGTACCTGCCCGAGCTGATGGCGGAGAAGGACTCGCTGGACCCGTCCTTCACCCACGCCTTGCGGCTGGTCAACCAAGGTGAGGGGCGGCGGGGCGGAGCGGGGCGCCTTGTCCCGCGGTGGGGACGGGCCGGAGTGAGCGGCGGCCGCCGCGGATGCTCAGGCGGGGGTTCACCCTTCCTTATTGCACCGCTTGGAGGGGTTTGTTGTGTTCAGGCTCCTGGTGAGGTTCTCGGTGAGGGCTTCACCCTTGCCTTGTACCGCTTGGTGGGGTTTGTCTGTCAGGCTGTCGGTGTTTGCCGGCTCCCGGCACCTTCCCCTGCCGGGCAGCATCGCGCAGGCAGCCGCGCACGCTGGACGCCTTCCCGCATTGCCCCTCTCCCACCGGTGTTTTCTCTGCCATCGCTCACTGCTCGAGTTATAGATTATTCCGAGTTGAATGGCTGCGTAAGACGGCTGGGTCTGCTGTGCTCTGATCGCTCTGCACGTCAGTTACAACCCCAGAAGGTTTTCCTATTTAACTCGTTTCTGAACAATGAGCAGCCGATTGTTTACATGTGTGAGAGCCTTCTTAAGAACGAGCCTACTACCGATGGCCTTTCCTAGAAACTTTGGGCTCTGCTGCTAAGATATTAAGGAACCAACAATGCATTTTAGTAAACCTTTTAAAAACACAAAGTGTATTTTATTTTACAATTATGTAACTCCAAATAATAAATTATTCCCACTCCTTCTGCATCTCTCATATCAGATGTGGTTTAAAGAGCTATCTTTTTGTTTCGGTGATGTAATACTGACTAGAAAAGTCATTCTGTGTGAATTAAAGTATCAATTAATGTACCTTTGGAGATACTGTATAATTGGCAGGTTACTTTCAAGTACAGCACTGGAGAGATAAATGCTTGATCTGGTGCTTAGGATGCTCAAGTGAAATAAGCTATGAACTGATCCTCTAATACACCAAGCAGTGGCAGCCAAAATGATTCTGGCTTCAACTGCAATGATTACAATGGTGTTCTTTCCATCCTTTAACAGGAACAGGTTTAAGTTAATGTGGGTTCTTCTAAAGCATTATAGGCTTTGGTGTGTAATAGATGGAAATGCCTGTCTCAGAATCAGAAGGAGACCTGCTGTTGTCTGAAATACTCTGGAGTTAGAGGTAGCTGTCAGTTTCAACTGTGGAATGCATTTACTAAGTGAATTGAAGGTCCATGTCCATGGGTGGTTGTTGTTTTGCATGTTTTTCAGAACTTTGAATCTGTAAAAATGTCCCTGTTGACTGTGGGAAAAGGAGAATTATGTTAAAAAAAGCAGTTATTTGCTGTGTTTGCTGTAAATGAAAAAACTTGTAAAAATTAAACTTGATGGCTACAAAGTATTGAAGTTCCCCTCTAGGTAGTGAAGAATATTTTTGCATGTGTAAATTTTTCCAGGGAGTTACAGAAGTATGTGATTTAGTCTTTTGTAAACAGTGTTAAAGGAACTAAATCTTTGGAGGTCCTCATTGAAATGATAAATTGGACCACTGAAACTTTTGCCTTTCATCACGGTATCTGTATGTGTATATTCAGCTCCAAAAAACAAAATTATATTGTCAATGAAAAAATGTAGGTGTATGTGCATCCAACCTCTGTAATCTGTTAGGCGTCTTGATTTTTTTATTTAGTTTTCATTGATTTTTTGTGAAGTTTTGGATTATATCTGAAGTGTTTCACATGCTAGAGGTGGGGAAGAGAAAGACTGAAGGTGACTAAACAACTGGTTAACTGTAATTTGAAATGTAAATTTGTATAATATCAATGTAGAGTAGATAGTTTAGTTGTAGAAACACCAAACAGCCAGATATAATGAAGTGACTATATAATGCAGGTGAGAAATATAACTTCAGGAGGGGCTGATTTACAAACCCTTCCTGCCATGACACTATCTTTATCAGGAACTGTTTTGTTTTTTTTCAATTGTAATAATTCTCTGCACTTGAATGACAACTATAAGGGAAAATGTATATATAATGGTTCTGGCTTGGATTTTGTGTACCAGGTCCACTGAGTATTTTCTATATTAATTCATGTGGAGGCAAATGAAATAGCTTGTCTAATTTTTTTAACTGGATTTGTTTATCTTTTAAGTTTAAAATGAAACATGTTTCCAAGTTTGGCTTCTTTTGGGTATCTGTGAGAATGTCTTAGCAGAGGTTTTAAGTGCTTTAAATAACCAGCTTAATTATGTAATAGCATTTTGGTGTCTTAGTGGTGTTAAAATTTCTGTCTGTATTTACTTAAACTGAAATATACTGTACATCAGCTGGCTTTCTTTAAAAACTCAAGACTAGTTTTTAAGGGTTTCTGTGGATGAGGTAGAATCCTTCTGAGGTGCTGAAGTAATTCAGTAGTGTTTACTGCTTAGACAGAAGAGCCAAATTGCTAAGAAATTTCCAGTCATGCTGAAATTTGGTTTCTAGGGAAAATCCTGTGTCTAGACTTCTGAAATCTAGTAATTATAGTTTTCAAATTGAAGTGGATGGATTTGCGTATTATGCTTATAATTACACATTATAATGTGTACACAGAAATTGCATTATTTTAAATTAAAAAAGTTGAGCTTGACCTGCTTCAAGTTCCGGAGTAGCATTTCAGTTAAAAAAGAACAATGTAGAAATAACTGAGATGCTGTAAGAATATTTTCATGGTCAGTATTATTAAACCGTCTTTCTGAATTAAGATATAACAGAAATTTCTTTGCCTTAAAGCCTTATTTTAAAGCACTATAATCAAATATCATTATCCTTCAATGTTCCTGCATAGTAAATCCTAATTTTTCTTGTTGAGAACTCTGTCCAAGGATTTGATGCCCTGTCTCCTTGGAACACACCTATTGCTTAAATTTTGTTTTAAATATTTGGCTACTGCTTAAATTTTAGAATATTGGGAATCTTTTCCAGGAGACTAGACTTGATCTCTTGTTCTAATTAAGAAGATGTATTTGTACACTTGAACATGAAACCGTCCTAAAAAGGGGATTTTTTTTTTTGCCTATAAACCATTAAACATGTTATAGATTTGAAGTAGACTTATTTGCATATGTAATAAGATGACCATGCTAGTGAGATTAATTTGCAGCTGGTACCAGACAGTGGGACCTGGAACATTTTGTCCAGTTATTATCTTATACTTAAGTTCTGTAAATGGAGGACCTTGGGAAAGACGAGATTCTGTGATGAAGCAAGAGCTTAGTGCATTTGTATATTTCTTATTTTCAACTCTCATGTGCTCATCTTTATGCAAAATCTGAAAATTATTTGTCTGTGGGAGTGATGGTAGTTGTGAAATCAAGCCTTATTTTGAAGACTGACTTTGCAGTTGTGGTTGTATGTAAATGTTGGTAAATGTGCAAGTGTAGTGTTGTCATAACTTGGTTCGTCAGTGATGCTCTAAAAATACTGAAGGATCCGTGAGAGATAAATTACTTTACCTTCTTTCACATTTATTTATAGTAGCGATTCAAGCAGTTTGTGAATGTTGAATGAAGTATGTGAAACTGCAGATGGAAGAAGCTAGCTGTAAATAAAACATGGTGATACCAGACACAATTCTAGCAGGGGAGACATGAAAATGGGTGCTTGGCAGTTGTTTGGTTTGTGTAGATAATGAAAGTTAGGGCTACTATCATTGCTGCAAGACAACTCTTTTGTGCAAGCTGGACTCTGGAATTCTTCCTTACAAGCTCATTTTAGCTGCTTTGAGATTTGAGGTAATATCTGAAATTGGCAAGGCTGCCTTTAAAATGTCAATGAGATGATGTACAGGAATACCAAGCCTTCCTATCAGTAGATGGCTGTATGTGGTAACTGTGTGTTGAATAGCTTTCCTGAGCCACATATCTAGTGGTGATCAGCAGGGGCTTGCTGTTTCTTGTGTCAAATTTTTCTTGGGAGTTCAGCAATCAGAGCTGTACCTCCCTAAATATCAGGGAGAATGGAGTGTGAGGGAGTGTACTTGCTTTCTGCCTTGTGGAGAATGAGTGGTGTAATATTTATTTTTTTTTTTCAGCAGAGATGGCTTTGTCAAAATAGTTAAGTAGGAGCTTAACAATCAATTAAGGTTCCATATATATATATTACTCATTTTTGTTGTGGTTTAAGCTCAGCTTGGATGGTAGATACTGTGCAGCCACTTGTTCCCTTTCCCCTGGTGGAATCTGGGGAGAATTGAAAAGAGGTACAACTTGTGGGTTTAATGACTAAAATAAAGTCAAATATAATAATTGTACTGGAAATGAAAAAGAGGAATAAAACCCAAGAGAAACAAGTGGTGCGTAATACAGTTATTCCCTGTCTGCTGACTGATGCCCAGGCTGTCCCTGGGCAGCAATCAGTGGCTCTGAGTCAACTCCCCCGGTTTATGTACTGGGCATGCATCCTGTGGTGTGCAATATTCCTTTGTCCAGCTCAGATCACCTCTCCTGGCCATGCTCCCTCTGGGCTTCTTGTGCACCTGCTCCCTGGGAGAGCGTAAGACACTGCAAACTCCTTGATTTAGAGTAAGCATTACTTAGCAACAACCAAAACATCACTGTGTTCTCAGCTCTCATACTGAATCTGAAGCACTGCACTCTACCAGGCACTAGGAAGAAAATGAACTCTATCCCAGCCAAAACCAGGACAATTTTCAATAAATCCATTTAAATACACGAGGGATGTCATGGTTTTCTTCAGTTTATCAAAAATAAATGTGATTGTGTAGTGACGTGCATATGTTGTAATATAAGTAATCAGTTTGCCACTGAGCCATCCACTTTCCCATGTGGACAAGTTGTGTGGCATGGCACAGACACATGGTGCTGCTTATTCGTAGTCTCTAATGGTGTTAAATGTACTCCATCAGTGTAACCTTAAACTCTCCTTGTTGTCATTATAGTATCAATCACAGAAACAATACTTGTTTCAAGTGTCCTATTCTTTGAGAATTTCAAAGCACTTCATGAAGGTCATAGGTGTTTTGAAAGTTGATATATGGCTGTGGAAAGCTGATGGTGTTTTAAAATTGCTCAGAGCATCATATGAAATATAGTAAATCTTGT